TATACATATGTAGATGGTAAAGTGTGAAAGATATTTATCGTTTTCTAAATTTATTCTAACAAATATATATATATATATATATATATATATATTACATGCATGAATACATATCTACAATGTTCATTTGGCTTAACAGTTGGCGTAAACGTAAACAGAAACTCGATGGATAGTAGGTATGGTAGATACCGAGGTCAACTAGCGCTCGATGTTATATATTTAGAGCAAACGATAAACGTTGATTATTATCTCACGAGAAGCGTGTGCGTCGATATGAAACATCGATCCAGGGAACCGTCAAATCAAATTAACATTTCACGTTTATAACCCCGATTAGATATCCGTTAAACTCGTGAGATAATATCGACCGAACGTACAATTTCGTTTCCATTAATTTCTATCTCTCTCTCTAAATATATATATATATATATCAATATTTAAACTTTTATGCATTATTTATCAAATAAGTATTGATGTAAAATAATTTTTGTTACAATATTGTAGCAAAACACTTTTTAATTTCTTTATATATATATATATATATATATAATCAATAGATTTATCTTCTTCATCTTTTTCTTTTTTGTTTCACAGGGTCAACGAGGATGGTTCCTGGGACGCAATGAAAGAAATAGTGACACCAACAAGCGCAACAGTTTACACGATTGAGAATTTAACACCATTCACGGTCTATAGCTTTCGCGTGGCTGCAGTAAACGCGATGGGCCGTAGCAAGGCGAGTCAAGCATCCTACTACATCATCACCTTGAGAGAGAGTACGTCTTTTTGTTCGATCATAATTGCTTTTATGTTCTTTATCAAAGAATTTCTCGTCCCTCGTCAATTCCTTTTATTTCTTTCATTTTTTTCTTTCTTTCTTTCATTCTTTTTTCTCGAAACGTTGATCAATCGTTTTCATCGTTTACAAATGACAAATAATATGAAAAATAAAAAGAAAGAGATGGAAATAAACAAAGAGAAAAGAATTGAAAAAGAGAGAGAGAGAGAGAGAGAGAGAGAGAGAAATGGTTGTACCAAAAACGAATTTCACATTATAGAGACTGTGAGCAGGTGCGCAATGACTCCGCAAATCCTCCCTCGCAGAAGGATTAAATGACTCACGCTCTTCGGTCATTAGTAGCGTAAAGTAAACGGGTTTGAGCCTGGAGAGACGTGAGAATAAAAGAAAAAGAGAAAGAAAAAGAGAAAGAGAAAGAGAGAGAGAGAGAGAGAGAAAGAGAGTGAGAAGGAGGAGGAGGAGTAGTCGAAGAAGAAGAAGAAGAAGAAGAAAAAGAAGAATGTTGAAAGTAGTTAGTCTGGTCGGCCCTTCAGGTTCGCGCGCGCTCGCTCTCGTGCACAAGCCAGGTTGTTGGCAGTGCCCGTGACTAAAGAGGCACTAATTGCAGTGAGACGCAAGAGTGGTGTGTGTAATTTTCTTTCTCACTTATTCTCATACATTCTCAACGTTTTCACCCTTTATTCTCTCTCTCTCTCTCTCTCTCTCTCTCTCTCTCTCTCTCTCTCTCTCTCTCTCTCTATTTCTCTTCTTTCTTTCTTCCACTTGACGTTTTAGTCTCACACTTCCTACGAGAGATGGAGGGAATAGCATAAGAGAAAGAGAGAAAATAGGTTGAGCCGTCGTACGCGCTAGCCCTATAAATTCTGTAAACGCAGCAAGGATTCAACGACATCCACCTGTATACTCCTGTACACTTCGTTCCTATGGCCGACAAAGTTTGCCAGTTCTCTGGGCGCCTTCGTAACGTACGTGAGCACTAACCTACCCTTTTCCCCCAACTCTATCCTAACCCCACCTCACCCCACTTTACCCTATACTCTATCCTACCCCAAACTCTTGCTCGACCTAAATTCTCCGTGTACCGATCGTGGGCTAGGACAATTAGCGGCTTGGTCGTGCACGAAGAGGCAATTCCGCGCGACTGGAATTAGAAGGAAAGAGTTCGTAGAGTAGACTGGAAGAATTGAAAGAGGAGTAAGAGGAAAAGAGGTACAGGAGAAATAGGAAGGAAAAGAAGAAGGAAAAGGAAGAGAAGGAAGAGGACTTTGAAATGGGCTTGAAGAAAGAGAAGGACGAAGGTTGTGGTAGCAGCTCAACTGAGATTTATCGTCCGATCGAAAAGCCCTCGTTGCTTTTAATTAATGCTCATGGTGGTTCGTCCTTCTCTTTAGCACAAAGATTCGAGCTCTTTAATACTTGACCCAGTACTATGGCGTTATATTTAGAAAAAGAGAAAGAGAAGGAAAAAGTAGAGGATACAGGAGGAATCCAAAGAATTTAATTACATTTATTTATTACTTTCGTGTTCAATCTTTCTCCTTTTATTTTATATCATTTTTCTTTTTTCCTTTTTCTTCCCTACTTTTCTTTTTTCTTTCTTTCTTTCTTTCTTTCATTTTTTTTTTTTTTTTTTCGTTCTTCATTTCTCCATCTCCTTTCTCCCTTTTGTGCTTGAAAATATTCTAATACTCGGAGCGGCTTCAATGGTAGCTTAATGATAAAATTTGAATTTCTTCCTTTTTTTTCCCACCTTTTTTCGATGTTCAACGAAGTGATTTTTTTATATCTCCCATGCTCGAGAAAATATAACAAAACGTGAATTTTTTTCTCTTTTTCTAACTCTCTCTCTCTCTCTCTCTCTCTCTCTCTCTCTTTTGCGATCTCTTTCGAAGGGGAGAAGGGAGGGGTAACACAGAAGAAGCGTAATTTCCGTTTTATCGCTGTAACGGCGCGCCATCCGTTCCAGCCTGATCGCAAGAAGAAATGGTGGCTTGCAAGAAGTTTGGCGTAGATCCATACAACTCAGCTTAGAGATGAGATGAGAAGGAACGACGACGACGACGACGACGACGACGACGACAACGGCGTCTATTAGTTCTTGACGGCGTGTTTCGTGTGACTTAAACGATAGAAAAAGAAATAGAGAAATAGAGAAAAAGAGAGAGAGAGAGAGAGAGAGAGAGAGAAAAATGCACGTGCAACAAATAGGTTCTACGATCAACCTTGAAATCAGAAAAAAAGAGAAGAAAAATCGAATAATTCTTATATAATTCCTTAAATAAGATTTATTTATAAAAAAAAAAAAAAATGATATATCCTACATAGGATTTATCGGTTTATCGATCAATTAATCGTACTTATATCCAATCGATAATAACTCGGGCGAATAGTACATTTCTTGTCCGCTTAACGAGGAAGCTTAACGAGTAATAAAAAAGAAAGAGACGATGCAGAGTCGTGTTCGTATATCGGACATTACCATCGCGTTATCCGGAACCAACGAAGCGGAAAACTCTGGACGAGGATTTAATGCATACTCTGAGAATTGTACGTATATGTATATTTGATATATACATATAATATATATATATATATAAAAAAAATATATATATATACACGTTATATAGTAATCTCTCGTATATTGAACAAAGATATTCTCGTAGATGGAGCGATTTTACAGGTCTTCAATTTTCCGCAGCACTGATTTCGTCAATTTTCACATACTTTTCCATTCGACTAATGCATACTTTAGAAAAGATAGAAAGAAAGTGGAAGGATATAAAAAGAGAGAAAGAATGTAATAGAAAGAGAAAAAGAGAGAGAGAGAGAGAGAGAGACAGAAAGGGGACGAGTCATCGGGCAAAGCTTTATGCGTAGCACGATGTTCTCGCTCGCTCTCGTCACATTTTGACGACACTTTTGATGACACTGTAAATCTAGGAACGTGAACGCGGCTAACGTAATAGTCGCTCTAAACTCACAATCAGGGGCTCGTTTTTAGCGTTTCTCGCGAATTGGGACGCGGAAATGCAGCAGACCCAAGCATTGTCGAATCCAAGGGAATGTAGAATCAGAGCTATTAAACGAGAACGCAAGCACGCATACGTGCGAACGCGATCGAGGATGCGTGTACGAAGTGCTGCTACTGATGGTATAGAGCAAGGGGGAAGAAGGGGTTAAAGGGAATTGTGTATTGGTAGGGGAGAGAGAGGTGGATGGACACGAACGTGTACGTGAGCGTGTACAACGTGCGGTAGGTTCATTATGGTACCACGTGAGACGAGAATAATTATCTAGTTATCGAGACTGACCCGCATCGCCGAACAAATGCGCTCGTATCGCCCTGGAATTGCGTGTACTTGTGTCAATAACTAATTTGAATACCATCCTACCGACTGTCATCCGAAATGTGTCGTTTCTATCTGAAAAAGCCAGTTCGTTCTCTGTATATATATATATATATATATATATATATATATATATATATATATATGCGTGCGCGTGTATTTCTCTTTATCGTTCTAATAAACTCAAACACATCAATCTGCTATTCAGTAAATCGCAAGAAAATGATTATTGTTCGTAATAAGACAAAATTCGAGAATAATAATTATCGATCATCGCGAACTTATAATCGTTATATCACGTATAGGTTGATATACGATTAGAATAATTATCGATGGGCATTGATACATTTGTAATTATCATTTGTAATATTCATTCATTCCGTTCTCATTGTTATACAATAAACGTACCATATGTGAATTAATTTGACGGAAAGATATACATATACACTTAATTGAAATTGAGTCATTTGTAAATTCTCAATACGTTTGTAATAATCGTAGGAGTATCGTCAGTTTATTTGATATCAGGTTATCTTGTTTCCTAGATACCTAACTAGCATTAATCCAATAAATTCATTGAACTGAAATAGGATGAAGCTTTAAAGTGTATTATCTTGATCATTCGATCCAAATAGAGTCCAATGAATGAAACGCGTATAACGAGGATGTTTGTTTGTAAATGTCAATATCTACTGTTGTAACTACTACTACTAGCACTACTACTACTAATCGCTATTACTAATACCATCATACTTTGTTCGGCGTTTAGATAGTTACTAACTAAGAGACACACAATTCCCTCTTGCATTCATCTTGTGAACATAGGTACGATACCGGTTACCTTAACATTCTCTTGCTGTGCCTTTGCGGTTAGTTATCAGAGTATGTCATAAGAAGTATATCTTATCAAGATATCGAAATGTAGAAATAAATACACAACGTTTTTCTTTATTTTTCATTATAGATACATTTATAACGTGAATATCGTCGATCAAAATTAAAACGTTATTTCTAATCTATCTTTAAATATCAATAGATATAATCATAGAATTTCTTCGGTTTTAATTTGTACATTGGATTTTATTTCGTTCATCTAATTCTACTTTGAATCAGCTTTGCGTGTGAAGCAACGAGAAAGTAGAGGTTTAAAGACCGCAAGAGTGAAAGAGAAAGGAAGAGAGAGACACAGAGAGAGAGAGAGAGAGAGAGAGAGAGAGAGAGAAAGAGAGATAAATAGAGAAATTGGGTCCATAGGAAAATGTGTGTGACTATATATATATATATATATGTATATTTATCTGTATATATATATACACATATATGTATGTTCGTACGTGTTTGTATACATATGTACATATACATCTATGTATATACATGTGAGTAGTGCGTTGTACAGGACGGGAATTCACGATGGCTTAAATGAAAGCCCACGCTCCCGGATCAATAGGGCACCAACGAAACTTCTCCTACCACTTTGGTCCAGCTTCGATACGCGTATATCGCTTCTCGTTCCCGTTTACGGACCTCGTTCGGCTGTCCACCATAAATATATAGCGCAACCGAGCCACCAATTAGCCATCGGCCCACCCGTCGACGTGGCATCCGAGTTAAAGTTCCCTCTCGCCCTTTTGCCAAAGCACCGTTAGAAAATTAGAGGCGTTCTAGTATACTACAAATAGCTACCTTCTTTCGCGTGTATGTATTGTGTGTGTGCGTGTGTGTACGTGTGCGTGTGTGTACGTATGCGTGTGTGTTTCTATAAACACACACATATATATATATATATATATATATATATATATATATATATGTATTTATATATATATATGTATATATATATATATATGTATATATATATATGTATGTATCTATTGGTTCTCTGTTTCCGATATCCAAGAGAGATTTTTAGATCATCTTACAGATTTTCATGTAAGAATACTCGATATTGTTTTTATTTGTTTTTTTGTTTTATTTTTCTGTATATTTTTCTCTTTTTTTTTCTTTTTTTTTTTTTTTTTTTTTTTTGATAGTAGTTGGCAATAGGGGACGGGAATAAGATGGAAATATTTTTATTGGTATCATAAATTTGTACAATTTTTTTTTTTCTTTTACGAAAAATCAAAATCAATGATGTATTATTTTTCTTCTGTTTTTCTTTTTATTTAAAAAAACAAAAAAAAAAGTGCAATACATCGATGTTTCGTTATTAATTAGAAAATTATTTTTTAATAATAAACCAAACAATGTTTCAATTACGCGAAATTAGAATAGGGTATCGTAGTAATCTCGGAGGAAGACATTCTCATTTCCATGATTGATATTATCTAGTTAATGACATTCGCATGATTTTAAATAACGTAAAATTATGTAAAAATTATAACGTTCTCTTTTCATTTTCTTCGCTTCGTCATTTTCTAATATTACAGAATTATTCTTAATTTTATTAAAGGAGTACTCTGTTGCGCTATATATATGTAAATGATATGGATTTTCGATTTGGAAAATGTTACATTTTCGAGAAAAAAGAAACAGAAAAAGAAAATATTTACTTTTTACAGAACATCCAGCAAAAGGGTCGCTACGTATCCATTATATTTATGTTTTAAGCTTAACGATTGGAAAAACACTTATCAAGCACTAATATCCCTCTCGTACGCTCCGTCCCGTTACTAACACCACCCCCTACCCTCTCTCTCTCTCTCTCTCTCTCTCTCTCTCTCTCTCCCTCTCTTTCTCTCCGTCTCTCTTTAAAAGCATTTTACCGTTCTTTGGCAAAAAATCTGTATGTCCGATAATTTCTCACGAAAGCATAAAATCCAACGGCACCGTCATAAACTCGACGCCGCGCCGCGAGGTAATAATAAGTTAACGCAGATTTAACGTCGGTAAAAAATGTAGCTCACATTTATCGTGAGCTAAATTGCTCGGCGAAGTGGCGAGCGGAAATCGCCTAAAAGACTTATCACTTTCTACTTATCGCGCCAACACCTGAACCATACTAACAAAGCCTACGTACTCGTTATAACTCGTTGTCTCATTCAACAATTATTTATCCGTGAATTCGTAACCATGAATTCTCATAGAGGATATATTCTCTTTTATTTTTTCATTATATTTTTTTCCTTTTTTTTTTCTTTTTTTTTTTTGATATCCTAAAGATAACCGAAAGCTATCTTCAAAAGAGCATAAAAATAAATCGACTGATACGATATACTATTCGAGAGAATTAAAATTTGAAACGTAATTTTAAATTTGAAATATTCCTAATGTGTCTTTTTGAAACCGATATATACTTCCTTTTTTCGTTTTTTCCCTTTTTATTTTATCTCTCTCTTGTTTCTCTCTCTCTCTCTCTCTCTCTCTCTCTCTCTCTCTCTCTCTCTCTCTCTCTATCTTTTTCCTTTATTCTTTATTCGTTTCATTTTCAAACATAACACCGATGAAATTTGTACAGTCAAAATGAAAGAGGACGCATCGTCAAATAACTTTTTAATTACGAAGTATATGTATTAATTACAGGCACGTATTTAGGCTGTAATATATTGATAAATTATAAATGTACGTCTCCATCAGTAATCTAAATTATTGTTTTTCTCTCTCTCTCCCTCTCTCTCTCTCTTTCTCTACATTACCTTCTCTACGATTCATTAAGAACTTGCGTCAATTAGGGTGCCACAAAGTTTCGTTCGACGTATATAACATGTAACTCGATACCATTCTAGCGTGGTCAACTTTGCTTTCTATCTCTCTCTCTCTCTCTCTCTCTCTCTCTCTCTCTCTCTCTCTCTCTCTCTCTCTCTCTCTCTCTCTCATGACGATCTTTCGCACAATTAACACTTTACTCGTGGACATTAAGCCTCGGCTGGTGGGTTAGTTGTTTCGCATCAGTTCCGGCCACAGTGACGTACGGCGCACATTAAATGTCTTGAAATTATTTCTCCAACAATTTCTCATCTGCCATCGCGTTGGCGATGGTCATGAAAGTATATACACATATACACATACAATATATACATACAAAATATGAGTTAGTCAACTCGTGTGTAGACTTCGTATGGAAGAGTGTAAGTGATTCGTGTTACTCTCTCTCTCTCTCGCTCTCTCTCATGTGTAAGTGATTCGTGTTACTCTCTCTCTCTCTCTCTCTCTCTCTCTCTCTCTGTGTCTCTCTCTCTCTCTCTTTCTCTCTGTCTCTCTATCTCTGTCTCTCTCGTGTGTGGAAAGGACGGAGAGTTTCAGAAGTGATGCGGACGCTAATTATTTCGAACAGCTCCCGAGTTCTGACGGGGACAACGAGCTTTCTGCCTTCGTCCTCGGCGAAAAGGGACCACGAAACACATTATCCCGTCAGGAGAATTATTACGCAGGTGTTTTTCACTCTCCTCCCTCAACATAGAAACCTTGTCTCTCTCCTTCCCATTGTCAGGGATTCCCTCATGGCAGAATTTAATCGGCTTAATTGCAAGATTCCGTTCCATCTAGAATTCATTGGGAAATAAAATTATATATCGTGCGATCTTTTTTTTTTTTATTAGGATTAGGTAAAAAAATGGAAAAAAAAAAAATAGAAAATAAAAGAGAAAAAAGAACGCCTCGGCTCAATGATTTATGATTAATTCTCTTGTAAAGATCTATGAGAAATTTATGAAGAAATGGATTTCTTTCGTAAATGTACGACTACTCTTCTTTTTTCATTCTTTTTCTTTCCCTTTTCTTTTTGTTTCTTATTCTTTTTTTTTCTTTTCTTTTCTTTTCTTTTCTTTTCTTTTCTTTTCTTTTCTTTTCTTTTCTTTTCTTTCTCTTCTTCTTTTTTTTACATTTTGATTAGTAACCATCCTGCAAGAACAAAAATCTTAATTAAGAAAAAGTTTTGCCATATAACGCATTTGATGCTAACGTTCGTGTAAAGTGTTTGCGAAATATTTACTTGTTAAAAAGTTGGCGATATTGCGAAAAGATTTTTCCACGGTACATACGTACTTACGTATACGTACGCCGGTTGGTGCAAAGAAAGGGGAACTGTTGCGATAAAAGCGAGGAAGCTCCGAACGTTGTGACCATTAAACTTCCATTTGCAGCAATGAAACTAGCTCGAGTGTTCCAAGCAGTAAATTTATAAAAAGATTCCTTGGTAAAACTTAGAATCCGATTGAGATTCTTGCAGATGGTCGACCATGGAAAATTTCAAAATGCAGACTTCCAATGAGCACGGTCTCCATCCTGCGGAAGTTTTAATGTACCCAAGAATATTTCCATAAATTTTCTTATACGATAAAGCGGCGAAACGATTACGTGCTACGTATATACATATACATATATATTTACATATATATGTATATACATATATATATATATATATATGTATGTATATATATAGAACCCAGATGTGAATGTATGTGTAACACAAGTTTGAAAATCGCACCTTCTGTTTTCAGTTCCCGAAGGTAAACCCCTTATCACTAGCGCGTACAACACGTCGTCGACGTCTATATATTTGGCATGGAAACCACCAAGTCGTGACACTATACATGGCGAATTTCTTGGATATCGAATTGGATATAGACCGCGAGACAAAACGAATATGGAAATGAAAGACATCTACATACGAGATCCCGCAGTAGACGTAAGTTGAAAGGCAATATATAACATTGGCATATTTTTTTAAATCAATTTTCTTCTCAAATAAAACTTGTAGTTTTCTTGCACATATAAATATATATGATTTATTTTTATATTTTTCAGAATCACAGTATTCATAATTTGGAAATATACACGCAGTATCTCGTATCTCTTCAAGTTTTCAATCCGGAGGGTCATGGACCAGCCACAACAGTTTCTGTGATGACCGACGAAGGAGGTAAGATTGAAAATAATCTCTTTTAACCATTTCTCGTATTTATCATTTTCGTATCTCGACCGAGTATCTCGAGCAGCCGATAAAACAGATTTCTCTCTAGTCTTTTTTAATCGATCGTCGATAAATAAGTTCCCGTTATATACAGACGTTAAAGAAAATTTCTACATTTACGATACGTATCATTTATAATAATCGATTTTATCGACCGTGCGTTTCCAACAAAATTTGGAACTTCATCGAAAAAATAAAAACGATAGATTTCGAGATTCTCGTAAGATGGCTTGATATTTGATCGATGCTTGGCTTTAAACGTAAAACGATAAAATAGTAATTGTAAATAGAATTATCATGAATGAAAGATAAAGTAACGATAAAAGAAAAAAAAGAAAAAAAAAAAAAGAAAAAGAAAAGAAGGAAAAAGAAAATAACTCATTCGATCCTTCATTAAATCATACGCATTACAAATTGAACATGATTGTATCAATAATATAATGATCCTCATCAATAAAAACTGAAAATATATTTCTTACGATGTTAACAATATCTTTACGAATAAATACACGATTATTATTATTAGTATTATTATTATTATTATTATTATTATTATTATTATGTATTATTAATTAAATAAACGTAAAACGATCGTGGCACCAAAATAGAAGAGTACGATCCTGGACTTCCTCGCGTAGTTTCTACTTCTCACCCCCTCTTACCGTGTTACCCTGGAGAGCCGTCATTGGTTGAATTCACTATTGGCAAATTCACCTACTTATAACATGCTTCGAGGCAATACGCACGACGTTCGAAGAGAAGAAGAGTTTTGGAACGACTACGTAACAACGAAAATAATTTCCTTTCATTCGCGATCTTAACAATTTTAGAAAAAGATAATTTGATCCTTAAAGGACCTTAACAGTAAGGTTTCTTTCGTATTTGAAACAGGACGGAACAGCTGGCGATCCTTTTGTATTTTTGGAACAAAGAAAGATCATGGCGTCCACACAAATACGAATGAGGAGATTCTTCCAAATTTTTATCATCATTACGATAAATCAAAAGTTGAATCTCTGTTTGCGTTATTTGCAGGAGAAATAAGAAAATGAAAAGAAAAAGGAAAACAGAAAAGGGAAAAAAAGAAAGAAAGAAAGAAAGAAAGAAAGAAAGAAAAAAAAAGACTGAAAAAGAAGAAAAAAAGAGAAAGGAAATAAAAAGTAAAAGAAAAGAAAAGATCTATACGTAAGTGTTATATCAAAAAAAGATATCGAGTTATGACAAATGTAAGTATTTACGATAGAAAGTATCCAATGAGATAAGTCACGTGGCACCTAATACATATAAATACGTTACTGTCGGCCCATTCGGCAGCAGGTTTCCAGCTGCTCCTCTCTCGGGTTCGTCGGTGAGTACTCGTCGTTCTACGTCAACGTTCGTTCTCTCGTGAGAGGGCACGCTCCGGAATAGCCATGATCGTCTGCTCATTGTCACGTGCCCTGTTCATTCGACGAAAAATCAGAAGACATCATTGATTCTATACGCGAGATCTATAAGGGAATTCTATAAAAAAAAATTTTTAACATTTAAATCGTGAATTTGATCATCGAGAATGAAAGAAAACGTAATAAATAAAATAGTAAGATAAGTTAATAATAACAAAGGGATTATTTTAAAGATGGAAGAAGATGGAGAGAGAGAGAGAGAGAGAGAAAGATATACATGAAAGAAGAGGATGGTGGTGGTGGTAGAGGAGGCGAGCGGGCGGGTGGACGGGCAAGGGAGGGTGGAGGGGAATGAGAGAGGATAAGGGAGTTTAAATGGTGGGGGTAAAGGAGGGTTCAAGCTCTGTGCACGCCGTTTCGGTCGGCACTGCAGCCGCGCCTCCGCGTTTCACGATCGATTTTCCACGATTTTTCACTCCGTCTCTCGTGTGGCGGGTGGCTCTCTTCCCCGAACGAACGAGGAGGAGTTTGTCTCCGTCGTTGTGTGTCTGTGTGTGTGTGTGTATTTTGTGTGCGTGTGTACGTGTGTGTGTATGTGTGTGTGTGTGCGTGTGGTTCGTGGGCCGCGAACGTGACGCGAGACGTACGAGACGATTCGGTCTATCCTTCTCTAGTCCAAAAAGAAAAAAAGGAATAAAAAAAAAAAAAAGAAGAGAGAAAAGAAGAAAAAAGGGAAAAGAAAAGAAAGTAAAAAGGAAAGAAAAAAATAAGGCGTCGGGGGAGGGGAAAAAATCAACGAGAAAAAGAAGGATAAAAAGAGGAGGTGAAATGTAAAAGGAAAGACAGTAGAATAAAAGGGAAGAAGAAAATATATGTGTATGTATATATATATATATATATTTATATGTACATATATATATATAATACACAGGAATAGTGTTGGTCGAGTGAGATAGGTGATGTGGTTCTTTTGATAATAAAGGAAGAGAAGATAGAGAGGTAGAGGAAGAAAGAGAAAGAGAGAAAGAGAAAGAGAGAAAGAGAAAGAGAGAGAGAGAGAGAGAGAGAGAGAGAGAGAGAGGGTAAGAGCATGGACAGAGTTAGGAGGTGTGTACTCTTCGTTTGCGTGCATGCGTGCGCGTGAGATAGAAGTAGTGTGCTCGTGAACGCCGAGCGAGCGCGAGCTCTTAGCTCGAGTGTGTTTCTCGTTTCTTCATCGTCTTCTCCTTTCTCCTTATTGTTATTGTTATTATTATTATTATTATTATTATTATTATTATTATTATTATTATTATTATTATTATTATTATCATTATCATTATCATTATCATTATCATTATCATTATCCTTTATTCTTCAATCTAATTCTCTTCTCTGTCATCCTGTGTAGTAGCTCTTCCTATAAGGACACGTCGAGTTTGTGCGTCGTGCTTCGTGCGTGAGTAATACGATAGTAAGAGAGAAAGAGAAAGAGAGAGAGAGAGAGAGAGAGATAACATTAGAAGCATCACTCTAAGATGCAACCCTTTTGAATTTGTCTAATTGTTCTTTCTTTTTTATCAATTCACGTTCCTTCTTCTTTTTCTTTTTCTTCTTCTTCTTCTTCTTATTCTTATTCTTATTCTTCTTCTTCTTTTTTCTTCAAACACTTTGTTGTTCTGTCATCCTAAAGTCAAGGAAGCCAAATCATTGGATGGACATTGCTCGAGGTCGAAGGTCGATACTACTATACATATACACGAGGAGGGGTCGTAGTGTACCCGAATCGTTAAGTTGGAACGGTCGATGGATCGGGTAGGCGACCTATCTATCCATTTATCTACTTATTTATCTATCTATCTATCTATCTATCTATCTATCTATCTATCTATTTATCCTCTTCTAATTTCTTCTTTCCTATTTTGAGTTCCATCGTGTTTTTAATTCTAAGGGATTAAAAGGTACAGGTCGATGATTCGAGTAAGCTGAATCGCTTTATCGTTCGTTTTCATCTTTGAAAAGAACGATGTATATACATATATATATATATATATATATATATATATATATACGTGTATATATAAACGTATACACATATAGATTTACTCGGGATTTCAAGTGCTTTGGGAGAATAGACTGGTCTCAAGTATTAGTCAATAATCATTCAGAAATCTCTTTATATTTAAAATATATCCATAGCAAATTGAATTATATGAATAATTATGTGATTGAGAATAGTGAGGTGTTGTTAAAATCTTTCTTTTTTTTTTTATTTCGTTTATTTTTTTTCTTTTTTTATTTTTTTCCTTTTTCTTTCATAAAAAAGACTTTCGTTCATTTAAAAAATATTTACGAAAAATAATAAGAAAATCTTGTCTAATTCGAATTGATTTTCATTTCGTATACGGCGAATAGGAAAAGATATATTTATTTTCACGTGAAAATTCGTCGTCGTCGTCGTCGTCGTCGTCGTCGTCGTCCTCGTCGTCATAGTCTTCGTCATTTTAAAAGATGACTAATCGTATGGGAAGACAAGAAAGGAACCCATCATGTCGTAAAGTATTTAGATATTTTTCGGCTGCGAGTTTTGTTTCGTTGTTTCATTTCAGCGGAAGTTAACGAGGAAAACGTCGATAGGGTCGAGCTCTGTTCGTATCATAGTCGTCGTTTTAGTCGTCGTCGTCGTCGTCGTCGTCGTCGTCGTCGTCGTCGTCGTTGTAGTTGTCGTAGTCGTCGTCGTCAAATAGTGGTCGTTGTAGTCGCTTCGTGTAGTCGTCGTTGTAGTCCGCGTTGTGCCGTATCGTGCCTCATCCGTGTGTACGTTTCTATACGTATACGTGTATGTGTATATACACATACCTTCCTTCTGGTAGGTAAAGAGAGAGAGAGAGAGAGAAACAACACATTCCGCTTGTGTTCGTTCATTCTCGTATCTGTACTATTCTGCTCTGCTGTACTTACTCTGTGTGTGTGTGTGTGTGTGTGTGTCTGCTGCAATGTGTATATAAGTGTAAATGCTGTCTGCTGTGTGTGTATTTGATAAGTGCTGTTGCGTGTGTGTATGTCTCTATTGTGTGTATATGTGCTTTGTGTATAGCTTGATGTATGTATGTAATGTTACGAATGATTCGTCCACGTTCTTAGTTGTGTGAGCTGAGTCATCAGGATTTTCACTACTAGATAAACTAGATTTTAGATCTCTCTTTCTATTTCTTCCTTTCGACGTATTAAATCTTTTCTTTTTTTTTTTCTTTCCGCTAAAGCATCCTGTCTTTTTCTTTCTTTCAGGCGTCTACCTCTTTCTGCTTCCCCGCCTCCTCTCTCTCTCTCTCTCTCTCTCTCTCTCTCATTTATTTCTTATGAAGTTAAAGTCATTTATGGTATAGGTCAGCATTGATAAAAAAAATCTCGAAAAAATTTCTTTTTATACATATATAATATATATGTATATATTTATTTATTTATTTATTAAAAATCTCTATATTGCTATATCTCTTTTGGGTAATCCAAGGAAGAAAAGAGTTTGGTGTGATTCCTCTCGCGTTCGACCTTCGACGACGTTGAGAAAGGAGAGGAAGAGGAAGA